AGAACATTCCAGCAACTTTGATAACGAGCTCGCGCCACAACTCGCTGTGTTAAATACAGTTTGACGAAACAACTCTCGTCTAAAGGTTTATGTGCAGAAAACAATTTAAAAGTGTGACTAAAAAAAGAAATGACATGAAAATACTTACCGCAGTGGGAGACGAAACCACACAGAGCTGCGCAGCAACAACTTTGACAACAAGATCAATCTGTGCAACTTCCGGGTAAAGGTCAATGGTCAATCCCGACAAGTACAAAATAAAAGTCATAAAGTCAAGGTCGTTGCAATGACTGCAGGGGACTTTTATATTAAATGTTTAAGCTAGTTTTTAAAATATAAATGCGTATTATACGATGTAATTTTGACTAAAATTACCACTTAATACAATAAAAAAATATTTATAATATACCTGTTTTATATTCATAACATTTTTATTTATAATATACCTGTATATAGATCTACAATTAAACATTTATTTTACTATATTTATTAAGTTATATAAATGTTTATCATATTTTATAATTATTTGGTTTGTTTTTATAGGGCATCTGGGTTTCACTCAAATTATTTCATTTAAAAAACAAAACCGGAACACATAAAATATCAAATTACATTTATTATTGATGCAATCATTTCTTTTTGATAAGCAAATTTTCTGTTTGTTTGTTTTTTAGTCTAAAGAAACTTTACAATATAAAGAAACATACAAAGGACATATTTAGCTACACAAGACACCTAAGGCCCTAGGACAAAGATCTGAGCTACCCTACTATGAAATACAACGCAAACCCAATGGGACAGACTGCTTCATATTGAATACTGTCATGTCGCAAGAAAGGACAATGAAAATTACAGGAGAAATTTCTGTCACTCACTCCCATGACCCTTCTTGCTCCAAAATACACATTTTCCTCTCAAACGTTTCTAATGTTACAATATTATACATCACAACAGAAGTGCAGAGATGGCCAACAACCGGACATTGAAGCAGGTCAGTGAGCAACTAAACAATTCCAGCCTTCAGGACCTTTAATTCGATGTAAAATGGCTGAAATGTTAAATATGCTAACAAATTTGATGGTTAATTGCTCTGAGTTTGTGTTTTCACATTCATATGGACTCAAAAATCACAATATTCTCTTGAGCAAAACAAGCCATTTTCTTTACACCAACTATGTGTTTGAGGAAATATTTCTGAAGAAATAAATGCATAAACCTATTGCGGCTTTGATTTACAATATGGGTGACCATCAATCTGCCATTTTTTGTTTTGTTTTGTTTTTACAGCAAAAGCATCTCTTTAAAATACAAAAACACAAACGGATTCTTTATAACTTATTTTCAGCTGTACTTATTGGTTGTGACTGACATATAAAAACATGTCAATGATATCAAAATGCATTTTACAGTATTTACAGTAAACCAAAGGTCAGGGGTGAGGGTCAAGAAAGGTTAAGGGCTGTGTACCAGACAAACTGAAGACAAGCATGAAAATCCCTTCAAAACTTACCAGGAGGCTGAGCCTGGTTCTCTCAGATGGCCAAAATATATTATGAACTTACTATAATCACTGGATAAAAGCATTTTAAACTGGACTGGCAGGTATTTAAAATAACTTTTTCAGAGGTCGACCTGAACATCAAGAAATGTGTGATTTTGAATGTCCCATGATGATCAATGTTCTGTAATGAAGCGCCGATTAAATAACTGCAGGCATGAAATGGCTGGTTTAATGAGGTTACAAATTTGTCAACAGGATTTTTCTGTCAATTACTCTTTTATATACAAAGGAGAATCTCACTAAACCTGTAAGTCATATTTCACCCCAAATTCAGAACACACAAAAAAAGAAAAAATAATTATAATTGGTATTGTTGTTAATATATATATATATATATATATATATACACACACATACACATATATACATACATATATACACATTTATTTTTAGCAATTATTTAAAAATACAAATTATCTGACTAGTGCTGTCAAATTGATTAAATGTACGTATGTATATATAAATATATATTTAAGAAATACATGTAATATATATATATATATATATATATACATGTGCATATTTCTTAAATATATACATGTATGTGTGTATATTTATATATACATATAAGCATACACAGTACACACATATTTCACACATCATGTAAACAAACTTTTATTTTGGATGCGATTAATCGATTTGACAGCACTAGTCAGAATATTAAAAAATTGCCTTAAAAGCGCGAATTAAATGAATTTAAACTTAATTTAGAGGTCAAATGTGACTGCAACCGCATTTGAAAAAAGACATGGAACCACACATGAGCTTCACAGACAAGTAGTGTATTGAAAATACCAATAAGGTCCATGACCAAAAAAAAAAAAAAAGATATATTTACAGACATGGGACTATAGAGCACAAGGAAACTTGTGCTTGTAAGAGCAGCCTGCCTCCAACTACTGTTACAGACATGTGGGTATAATATTTCTAAAAAGACTTCTGAAACAACGTGGCAAACACGTAGTGGCAAACTTACAATGAACACGGATGATATCATAACTATCGGCGACAAATCATCTAGAACGGATGGTAAAATGTATTGTTATTGACCGTTCGTGACCAAGGCAAGAATGGATGGCAGTGAATATGCAACGTCACCCTTTTAGACTTCAAAATTAACTCCAATCTTTAAATACAGTGCCGACGGGTGCATTAAACCAGTGATTGTAGCCACTTTGCTGACAGAGACACAAAAACTGAGGTTGTACATCTCGGTGGTGATGACATCAGAACACAGGAAGAGGTATATGCAGACATCTGACGAAACAAACTCAAACGAAGAGACAAACAAATACCTAAAATCATGTAAACAGAAGTGTCATTGTGCATTTGAATGTGTGCTTATTCTGTCATTGATGTTGTTGAGATACAAATGTGCCCTTTACAGGAAAATCCATAAAATTATGAGTACATCATCATCATCATAGCAATTATGAAAATTATAACAATAATATTATCAATAATATACAAATATATTGTAATGAGACCATTCCTGCCCCTAGCGTCACCAGTTTAGCTTTTTCCATTTTAAAATGTACACAGCAATCAAAACAACCGCAGGTTTCAGTGTTTCATTGCTGACAAAAGACGAGAAAAAAAACAAGAAAACGAGAAAATGGGGCTGAAATAAAGCCACCAGCCTCAATGCTGATGAGCAGCTAGTTATGAAGTGTCTTCCTGGCACAGTCCCACACACACACGCACATGTACAAACACACACACACGGTGGTTCATTCGGGGGCCCTTAGCGTCCCGATCCAGTGACGAAGTCCGGCAGGCAGGTTGAGTCCGTCAGAAGGCCCGATGCCTGCTTTCTTTCGGCTTTGTACTGGGCGTCCTTCGCTCCGTGGCCACATCGAGCGGCTGAAGGGTGCCACCGCGCCAGCCCAGAGGTGATTGAGGGAGTTGTGGTGAGTTGAAGATCGAGCGAAAAAAAAACAGCAACATGCCGAACACAGCAGAGATGAGGAGAACAGAAAGTGGGATGGGGGACGGGTTAAAAAAATAAAATAAAAACAAAATAAAAAAGAAGAATCACACACTCATCGTCATGTTGGGTGAATACTGCAACGAGAAGAGAGGAAGGGGAACATGGAGGGACAAAATGAGATTGCAAAACACATAATATCATCCGTTTATGTTATATCATGAGCCGATATTTAGACGAACTATTGCATAAAGTGAATGTAGGTACATTTGTAATGTACATGTGGTTACAGGAGAGCGGGGGAGGATAGCGGTATGATGCGGACTTACACTTTCACTTTGGAATGGGTTTAAGAAGTTGCCTGCCATATCCCCGTCATCCCGCGGAGTTCCTGGGGGATTGTTCATACCTGCCATGTTGTTTGGAGAGTTCTAGAAACCCAGATGTATGATGATTAGAGACACAAGCAAAAATACTCACAAAATGGAGTAAATGGCATCTAATAAAAAACTTGGGGAAGCACAATACCAAACTCTGGCCAATAATGATAAGCCGAAAATTAGGCATGCACTGATACCACTTTTCCCAGAGCAAGTCCGATATGATACTTATATTTTTGGTACTTGCCGATACCGATATTTTTGTTGCATTTGTAATTTTAAAAAATATTGTATACAGAGACTCACAAAATGGAGTAAATGGCATCTAACAAGAAACTTAGGGATGCACAATACTAAATTCTGGCCAATAATGATAAGCCGATAATTATTTTCAAGTAATGAACAATAACCGATAAATGGCCAATATTGAAATTCTTTACTTTTGCTGCAAAAATTATAAATAAATTCCTAAAAAAAAACAACTAAAATAATCATCTAAATGCTACAAGTGATTTAGGCATCACAACATTAAGATGTACAGTAAGAAAACTGGATACTGAGATCTGCTAAAGATTTCATTTTCATTAAATTAACAGTTTTATTCAATTAACATTTAAAAGATTGACTTCAAATCCATGTTAGAGGACGGTGAATGTAATCTAAATGTAAAAACAGCAAAAACGAGAATGAAAAATTAATTATCTAATATCAGTCGATACTGATGTATTTAAAAAAATTCTAATATCAGCCGGTATAATAATATTATACCGATATTTTGTGCATCTCTAAAGAAATTAAAAAGAATTCGTGAAATGCATATCAGTGTTGTTACTGTTAACTAAAACTATTTTAAATTATTTTTTGCTAATTTAAATAAATTTGAAATAAAACAAAACATAAATATTACATGAAAAACTTTAGAACTTAGACAAATTTAGAACTTTAGAAATGGTACCTTGGCAAATAACTGAAAAATACATTTCAACGCAAGTACTAAAATGACAAACTGAAAAATAAAGCAAAATACAAGTACAAAAATACTAATAAAAATGACAAAAATTTACTTTTGTTAAAATTACTTAAATTAAATTATGCTTCAAGCTGAATTACTAAAATTAATAAAACTGAGAAATAAAGCTAAATAGAAATACATATATATATATATATATATATATGTGTGTGTGTGTGTGTGTGTGTGTGTGTGTGTGTGTGAAAAAATGCCTAAGATTAAAAAAATATCCTAAAATTTAAATTACAAATACAAGTTAATTCAAAATAAAAAAAAAACCTATAATAATAGATAAATGACACTAAAATAAAACAGATTCCCATATATCTAGGCATTAAG